TTGAACCAAATTACGGGTTTTTTTTTTTATTTCAAACGTCCCTTGTCCCATTGAAACGTCGATCGCAACTTAACATGAGGCTCCATACATGATAATATTTACCTGATGTGTTTTTATAGCTCCCAACGTTAATATGAAAATGATGCACTCGATTTAAAGTACTAAACACTTTTTTTTTTTTTTTTTTTTTTTTTTTTGTGGCTATGTAACGATCTTGATGTGTTGTTTTCCCTCCCAGTTTTTGAATTGTATTACTGGGACTAATTTTTATATTCCTATTGAGCAACTCTTGTATGAATTACTATATACACATTTAGATGTAAAATCCCATGCACCGCATTTTATGATAAAGATTTGTTTAAAAAAACTGTTTTTAGAAAAATTAAATAAAATGTCATTAAAAATACTGTATTTAAATTTTAGATTTGTACATATGATCCACATGAACTACCACATATCCACATGGACCCCTCCCGAAACAATGCCTACAACTTCCCCCCACCTAGTTGTAGAAACGACCTCTAACGCAATTTTCACGAATGTGCTTCGAAAACAGGTTTTAAGCTTGGCATTTTGATGCACTGAATAAAGAACTGAAGGTATATACTTTTATATTTTTACTTACTGTTACTGCATTTGCCGGCCAAACAGTATAGGGGTTAGGAGAGCCGACTGCGATAATGAAGGGCCCGGGTTCGAATCCCGGAGAAGACATGGATGTAAATTGTCTGTCCTCTCATAGGGAAGGGAGTCTTCACGTACCACGACCCAGCTCTCGCACCAAACACACACGGTCCAGGAGTAATCATATTTACAGACGGGTCCAAATTAGACGGAGAAGTGGGGTGCGCTTTTGTAGCATATAATAAAGGAGATGTACTAGCAACCTGGAAAGGGCATATGAACCCTGGAAACACAGTGTTACAGGCGGAAGTTCTGGCACTGCATAAGGCAATAGATTGGCTAACAACATCCCACCAACGGTACGCAACAATCTTCACTGACAGCTTCTCAGCTATTCATGCAATTAAAAACCCACGACATTCAGCGCATCTTATTACGGAGGTGCAAAAAACGCTAAGAGGGAACACCCCCACTTCAAAGATCCGCATATCCTGGGTAAAGGCACACGCTGGGACCCAGGGTAATGAGAAAAAGGACGAATTGGAGAAGGAGGCAGCCCAAAATCAGGACGCAGAAGAAATTTAGATTTTGCTGCCGAAATCGCGCCTAAAATGCAAAGCGCGGGAAACGGCCCTAAGCCTGTGGCAGGAGGAATGGGATACAATCCAACAAGGCCGGAGAACTCATGACTTTATACATAGAGTGACGACAGATTGGGTAATCTCCGCACCCTACCTCACGCGCTTCATAACGGGTCATGGACCTTTCCCGTCTTATTTCAAAGACAGGGGTATATCTACCACCAATTATCAGTGTCTGCGGCAATGAAAGGGTCGTCCCGATCATTATCTTGTGGAATGCTCCTTTAACACAGAAATGACACATTAGCTTCGATGCTTCTGAGGTCCGTTCAAGCGCTTTCTAAGCGTTTTCTAAAAAGCAACCAGCATTTACAAATAAAATTAAATGTTATAACGGATAAACTCGAAGGCGCTTGGACAAGAGCTGTGTCAAGCAGAAATAATATCTAAGAAGCTGCCAAGTAGTGAGCTAAGTTATGTGCAGCCAAATATTCGCTTAGTAAGTCTATTTTTATATGTCTGGTAACGCACTACATATGTGCTGCTTGACGTCCTGTTTTGTCTTTTTGTGCTAATTCACAAAAAGTCATGTTTCTGTATGCGATGTTGTGTAGGCCATGTATGCTATGACAATATGCTATGTTATGTTCAATCACATTTGTCTATGCTATGCGATGTCCACCTGCTGTACAGGTCATGTTATGCTGTTTATATATATATATATATATATATATATATATTGTTTGTTTATTATAAAAATGTTTCGTCAATATATATGCCTCTAAGCTATGTTCACATGCAAGGCTATGTTCTGTATGCCGTGCTGGCTATATGACGCTGTGTATTTTATGTCGTAAATCTGTTATGTCAATATGTTATGTCGCATTTATGTATATTATGTCTATGAGATGCTATGGTATGTCCCTATGTTATACTCATCTTTCATGTAGTTAAGTTACGTTGTGTATTTAATGCTGTAAATATGTAATCCTTATTCTATCCTATGTCACATGATAGTGCAACGTTAATGCTGTGTCATGTTATGTCTACGCAATGCTATGATATGTCATCATGCAATGTCCACCTGTCGCATAGATCATGCCACACTACGAAATGTATGTTGTAAATATGTAACCACAATATGTTATGTCGCTATGTCTTATCTATGCTTAACAATGTTATGTTGCTATACTATATCCACCTGTCATGTAAGTCACATTACGTTGTGTATACGTTGTAAATATGTTATGTCACTATGCAATGACTGTATTCTACACTATGGCTCGTCGAATGCTATGCCATGTTATGTCTGTGCTGAGCTATGTTATATCGCCATGCAATGCTCTACTGTCGTGTAGGTAGTGCAAATCTAGGTATTTTATGTTATAAACATGTTATGCTCTAGATGGAGCGGGTCCCGGACTATACCCGATTAGTCTTTGAAAGCCGTCCGGGTGTCCGGCCCTTGTGTCACCTGTCACCTGTCCTCTCATAGGAGGTTACGGTGGCGGCCTGTTAGGTGCCGCCGCAGTAAAATGGTCACCACTTAGGAGTGGCCAATGCTAGAAACTCAAATTGTTTTGTCCCAATCCGCCGTCAACATTAACAAATCTAAAATTTAATAAAATATTCATTGGATTCATCCTTACTTACCCCTCTGAGCGGCCAGGGGTTTCACTAAGAAAGCACAAATTTCCCAAAGCTACTATGAGAACAAATTATTTTTTTTTATTTTAATGTACTCGCTGTATTTATACCTGGATTTTTACTTTAATATATTGCCTAATTCTTTGCAGTTTAAGCCGTATATATAGCTGTACATCACAAAAAATACGGCCTTACGGCGCTAAAATTACAGAGAACTATTATAGCGTACCTCCGTTAGACATACTGATAGAGTCTGCGTGATAGACAGCTGGTGGACAAAGGAGCTACGGACCAAGCGAAGCCGCACGCGGGCGATGCGCAGAAGGTTGAAAAAAGAACAGGACCCGGATCGTAGACAACAACTCAGCGTAGAATACAAAAGAGCGCAGGCTCAGTACAAGAAGGACATTCTGAAGGCAAAGCTCGATAGCTGGAGGAACTTCTGCACACAGCACACTGAAGTTTTCGGCGTACTACACAAGATAGCCTCCAGCAAAGTATTCATACCACCATTACATCGCACGTATGCTGGTTCACACATAGGGTCACAAGGCTTCATGGCCACCACACTTCAACGCATCCTTGACGCAGTATTCCCACATGATGGGAATGATGTTTCTTCTGAACATGAGGCATACAGCCTGTCCACGACAGTCCCAGATGATCCCCCATTTACAGTTAAGGAGGTCACAACTGTTATACGAACTCTCCCGGTCAAAAAGGCACCAGGGCCGGACTCTATAGACTACCGGATCTTGAGGGCAACCTACAAAGCCTGTCCAAGACTGCTAGTGGCTTACTTCAACAAACTTCTAAGTCTTAAGCACTTTCCAACACATTTTAAAACGGGCCAAGTGGTCCTCTTTACGAAAGAAGGCAAGGACCCCAATGATCCTTCGTCCTTTAGACCAATTTGCCTTCTGCCAGTCCTGGGAAAGCTCTTCGAGAAGCTTCTCGTTCTCAGGCTGAAGCATCATATAGCAAAAAACGGTGTTCTCTCAGATGCACAATATGGCTTTCGGGAGCATCGCTCTACGCTTAATGTCCTGGAGCACGTCTGCGAGGAAGTCAAGCGACTGCGCAAAGAACAACAGCATGTGGCAGTCCTCAGTCTGGATCTGCAAAGTGCATTTGACTCCCTGTGGTGGCCGGCAATCCTAGAAGCTTTACATGCAGCTAACATCCCAAATAACATCCTACAGATTTTTAAAAGTTATCTCAGTAACCGCAGCTTCATCGCGGTTCACAATAGTGGAATAATTACCAGGCCACAGCAAAGAGGCTGCCCACAGGGATCATGCGCAGGTCCAGACCTGTGGAACTTAACATTTAACTCGATTCTAAAAGCAGAATGGCCGGCTCACACAACAGTCGCAGCCTTCGCAGATGATGCCACTTTCGTGGTCAGTGGGAAAAGCCGCGTCATCCTTGAACAAAACTGCAAGGAAGTCATTGACATGTTCTATGACCTTTGCAAGGCTAAGAAGCTTAACATCTCGCATTCAAAAATCTAAATATATCATCTACCATAAACCGGGCCAGACCTTACAAAGAAACCCGACAATTACGATGGCAGGTCACAGGATTAAAAGAGTTAAAGAGATGAAGCTCCTAGGTATCATACTAGATGAAGGCTTTACTTGGATCCCCCATTTAAGATCGCAAAGAACAAAAGCATTAAAAAATAGCCATGAATCTAAGGAAAATGCAAGGCTCCAAATGGGGACTGCGTCCCCATATTCTAAAGATCCTATACTCTGCAGTAGCAGAAAAGATCATGATCTACGGGGCGGCAATCTGGGCAAACCCCATGACCCTGCAGGAAACAAAAAATTCTTCAAAGTTCCCAAAGACCTTTCGTACTGGCGATTACAAAGGCATATCGAACAACGTCGACAGCAGCCGCAGCAGTTCTGGCGGGACTAATCCCGTTACCAATAAAAGCACAGCAGGAAGCCGCAATTACAATGTTTTCCCAACTGCATAGAAAAGCACGATTTGGGGAGCTCAGCTATGACCCTGCAGACTTCGAGTTTAAAAGTTCAAAACTTAAAACGCACCCTTCAGATTACGGGAAAGGTGTTGTGACTCACTTCGCCCCTGAATTACCACCATCCATAGAGGGCCCGGGCTTCATGATTTACACGGATGGGTCGAAGATGGACAATGCAGTCGGCAGCGCATATACAGTTTTCCATAATGGCACTGAAGTGCAAACCTGGAAGTGCCATATGTCTCCGCACAAATTCGGTCTTCCAGGCGGAAGCCCTTGCTTTGCTGAAAGCAATAGAATGGGCACAAACTACCACAGCAGAAGATTTTACAATCTATACTGATAGCCTATCGGTACTATACGCCATCAACGACCCACGCCACACCTCCCCACTCGTGTCCCAAATTCAGGAGACACTAAGAAATACGAGTCCGGTCCAAAAAATTGAAATCTCTTGGGTAAAAGCGCACGTTGGTGCCCAGGGCAACGAACGCGCAGATACCCTGGCAAAAGAGGCAGCACAGGACCGGGATGCGGTGCAAATAGACCCACCTTTACCAAAGTCACTTCTCAAGCGGCAGACTTGGCAGTCAGCTCTGTCGCAGTGGCAGCAGGAATGGAACACGTCACCACAGAGTCGGCGAACTTTCGAATTCATACGAAAAGTGGACACGGAACGACTCATATCTGCGCCCTTCTTAACAAGATTCATCACAGGACATGGGCCGTTTCCGACCTACTTCGCAGAGAGAAATATATCCTCCACAGACCTATGTGTCTGCGGAAAAATCGGGTCCCCCGACCACTACCTGACGGAGTGTCAACTCACCACACAATGGCACGTTAAACTCCCGTCGAATAATGTGGCCGCCTTTAAAAGATTCGTGCTGAAACAACCACGACTTATGGACAAAATCAAAAAGATCATGGATCACTTAGAAGTACTGGGGCAGGAGCTCTGCAGCCCTGCATAGGTGCCGCACATGCCAGTTTCTGTAACATACGTGGCAAAGTGAGTACCTCGCTAGCATATATGCTCAGCGTGCCACAGACGCATTAACAACGTACCTCAGCATGCACTGTACCCATCGTACACGCACCAAGAGAATAATGCATAGACAAGTGTATAGTGCAGTCTAGAATTCTCTTACAGTTTATGTCCGCCTGTTTCTTATGTACATCTCTACCAGCCAAAGTGTAAATTTCTATTATCATGTTGTCAAGTTTTTAAGAGGCTCAGCCCCTGTAGTAGGCATGTATTAAATATTCACATTAATGTGCACTTCATAATATGTCGAATCCACGTAGTATTTAGTGTTCTCATATGCGTATATGCCTGCATATTTCAGTGTATTGCATTCACGTGTATGTAACAGTAGTATAGTATAATTGTTTAATCTTATTTACGTGTACTGTATTCACGTATTATCAGTGTATTGTATCCACGTGTATGTTACAATAGTATAATTGAATAGTTGTATAATCTAATTCACGTGTATTTTTGTGTACATGGTACTTACGTATCAGTGTCAATGTATATCAGTGTAAAGTATATTAGTGTGTCGCATTAATGTGCATTGGTGTATTGTGCCTATATTTTAGTGTATCGTGTATTAGTGTTTAGTATATACGTGTATAGTATATTAGTGTGTCGCATCTATGCGCATTGGTGTATTGTATCTATCTTTTAGTGTATAGTATATTAGTGTGAAACATTTATGTATATTGACGCATCGTGTCATTGGTTTATTGTGTCTATAAATATATTCTAGCATCATGTTGTCATGTTTCAAGATCTAAGAACATACAGAGTAACACCTGTAGTAGTACTGTGTATTATTAATATTTACACAAAAGTGTATTTTAAAATATATAGAATTTACGCAGTATCTATGTGTATCAATACTTAACTTTTTTATATATTGTAACTTAGCGTAAGTTTCTACCTATCTCAGTGTATTGTATCCACGTGTATGTTACAGTAGTGTAATAGAATAATTGTATTATCTTACCTATGTGTATTTTTGTGTACATGGTACTTATGTATTAGTGTCAATGTATACTAGTGTGTCGCATTTGTGCGCACTGGTGTATTGTGTCTATCTTTTAGTGTATAGTATATTAGTGAATTATTGTATAGTATACTGGTGTATAGTATATTAGTGTATAGAATACTGGTGTATAGCGTATTAGTGTGTCACAATTATGTGTATTGGTGTATTGTATCTATCTTTGAGTTTACAGTATCTTAGTGTGTTGCATTATGTACATTGACGCATTGTGCGATTACACGATCAGGTCTATTTGTAAACTACTATATTTATGTCTATTTAAAGTTTCAGTATTATAGTTGCAGGGTCCGGACAGCACTCGAGTAGTCATTGTAAGCCGTCCGGGTGTCCGGCCCTGCTGTCACCTGTCACCTGTGATAGACAGAAAATATGTTATGTTATCAATTGAATGGAAATAAATGAATTTATATTTCTTCTTTCAAAAAATACAGAAAGTTTATAATTGCAAAATATATAAATAAATCAAGTTTAGTTGCCACGTTACAGAAGAGAATAATGAAGCATTTAACAACAAATCTAGAACCACCTAACTAACATGTTGTAATTAACCAATAAAGTTAAATACAAGACAAAACATATACATGTTAAAAGTTTGATTTTAATATCTAACTCTACCATACATATGCTTGATTAAATAATTTTAATGCATATATTTGTCTCTAAATATTTTTGAGCACATTGGAGTTCAAGAAACTTAAGTCATTTCTGGATTTTCCGGTTAAACTTCAACTTCATTTAAGCTTTAAAGTACCACTATGTGGAGACTTTACGACTACTTCTATACCCTTTATTATTTAGCTCACTTCGAGATAGCAGTAGAATACGCAAGATGCACTCAAGCACTCTAAATCCACTGAAGGATACCGAAAGGGGAATGAAAAACAATCAAACTGCCATCAGAAAACATTACCTCATCTCTTTCGAGAGTCGATGTTCCCCCAATGTCCGTCAAAGTGGAAATAAATTCAATGAGGGAGCCAAATAACCACTGAAATTTGGCGTCTCGTACGCCATGAACATAAACTGTTGATTACAAGGAAAAGCAAGGAAAAGAACATCAAAAGAAAAACCTGTCTTTTCTGTAACGAAACTGTTAGAGAGAAGGAGAATTTAGTGAAGTTCGGATTAAGTAACTTCTCTTTTTTCCTCTTCTTTATCTTTCGTTAGATCACTTTATCTAATACGTAGTTTTACTAAGTGCATTTTTTCTGATTATATTAATTCCTTACCAGAATAGAATGTTAATTGTTCAGAAACTATTCGAAAATCCGTAAACATATATGGTATATTACTTAATAAGAAGCAAGAATTGTCATTTGCATGCGTTTAGTCATTTAAGCATAGTAAAATAATTATTGCATACTTCGATTGATGCAACTGGACAAAAAGTAGACATATTATTTTGTACAAAAATACTTAAAAAAGTAGATTATTGCATTTTTAAAACCGTAAAAATCGAAACCATATACTAATTTCATAATAAAATAAATCTGAAAATTTCAGATTTTATATTACTCCCAAAGGGGCATTTTTTAGGGTTTCGTTTGTCACCTTTCCTTTGTTTATTGAATATCATGTTCTTCGTACTTAACCCATAAAATTCAACAGCAGTATCGCAAAATATTTAGAAAGAGCGTATCTTTAGAATTTCCAATGCACAGTGTCGCGCGTTGGAGATATAAAGTTTTTTTTTTTTTTTTTTTTTTTTTTTTTTTTTTTTTCAGTATTCACATTGTTCGCTTTGAAATCGTTGAGTTTGTAAATGAAAAATTCGTTAAATTTTTACAAATATGAAATACATTATAACAGAAATTGAAGATTCCAAATTTGGACTTCCAGATGTCCATATTCGATTTGAGGGCTACGTTATTCAGAGTTTGATGTCTCTAGGTAGCTTTGCTTTTTAACAGTACGTACATTTGTGCAGATTCTTCATTATTTAATTTCTTGAAATATAATAGTTTCTTGAAATATAATAGTGATAGTGATAGTGAGGACGACATGGCCACCACCCCTTTACTATTAAGTTAATTAGCATATAGGGCCACGTCCGCCCTTATACAGAGTAAAGCCAGAGAGGCCACATGGGAGGCTTGCACAGGGCACCCAAACCCAACGCCTGGACCATCCGGTTGGCAGTTCCGCGACCCAAATGCCACCGGATTGACACCCATCCAAAGTGCCCGGGTCCAGTGATTTTTGAATCTTCAAGAATAGCATTGTACATGGATAAACACGGGCAGATATACATTAGTAGTTATTTACATGCTTCTATTAATACATATTTGCTGACATGCAATCCAGCACTGTTACATACATATACTTTCTAAATACCTACATGACATTACCTTAATTTGCTTTGGAATAATAAGATATAGCTAGTATATACAATAAAAAGATATAGCACAATAAAAATAAAAATAAAAATAAAAATAAAATAATAGTAATAATAATAATAACATACATTAGGACACGCTTGCCCACACTATATACACACATCGCAGACATACCTAGATTACTTATGCTTGAATGATACTGATTTACATTGAAATTAGCTGACATACTGACCAGTTATATTTACACATGGCATAAGTCTGGACCCATGCCCATTAGCTTATCAACTATATGAGTAATTTTGTTGGTCTGGTGTCGCTGCTTGACCATAAACCTGTTGAATGCCTCCCTGTTCGTCTGCAGGAACGGAATGTGCAATCCCTCCGTGAGAGGACATTCATGAACATAGTGTTCTGCTGTGCCCAGATCGCCACGTCCACAGCAGCACTGATCCGAATTGGAGATTCCGAATCTCTCAAAATATACTGGAAAGGGCCCATGCCCTGTGATGTAGTACACCATTTGTGGGCGTGCAACCAGTAGTTCCCTATCTACTTTAGGCAGAAATGTATGCGCTCGGCGGCCTGTGTCTTCGTTGACCCACGCAGCCTGCCAGAGTGCTAGAGCTGTGGCGCGCAGATTCCTTTTTAAATGAGAAACCGGCCATGGGATTTGTACTGGGACTGCTTCTTTTGCAAGCCGATCTGCAGTCTCATTACCATGATTCCCGATATGGGCTTTCGTCCATTCTAGATTAATTTTTAATTCTTTAGGAGCACGGAGGTATTCCTGAATAGCTGCTATTATTGGAGAAGTGTGGGTGGGGTTAAGGATGGCGTATAACGTAGACAGGCTGTCTGTTATTATATAACTATTGTATAGCCTCTGCTGAATTATCGCTTTCAGTGCATAGCTTATAGCTGTGGCCTCGCTTTGGAAGATACCATTGTGCGCTTCCAAATGCTCTTTCCATTGGCTTACTATTCTACCCTCTTTAAGTGCTGGATATGCACCGCCCACACTGTCGTCTATTTTAGATCCATCCGTATAATAGGTAACATCTATGTTCGTGGATCTTGTGGTCTGCTTCAGGTTTACATTAACACCGCGTCCTTGCAAAGACGGGTGCCTGTCAAGGCTGATGACTGCTTTTTCGAGGTTATTGTAAACACCTCTTCTAAATTGCGTTGTTTGGGAGTTGCTTGACTATCTGGTACGTAGCTTCCTTTCGACACTAATGACAATAAGCACCACAGGACATCGCCATGACTGCCATGCTTGTCGGTTTCCTTGTTCTCAAGACTGATCGTGACCATGTGGCTATATTACTGGAATTAATTGATATTAAAATTATCCTTTATTCCATTTATTCTCCACCAACAGCGTCATTGGAATCAGCACTTCTATTTCTAGAATATATCCGGCAACATTATCCAGTGCCACATAATATTATAGCGGGCGATTTTAATGCCCATAGTACAATATGGGGTTATCCTCAAACAGATGTTAGAGGTCGTCTTCTAGAGGATTTTCTTAACTCAAATAACCTAGTCCTTCATAACACTATT